TACAAAAAATTAGCTGGGCATGGTGGCGCGTGCCTGTAATCCCAGCTACTCAGGAGGCTGAGGCAGGAGAATTGCCTGAACCCGGGAGGCGGAGGTTGCGGTGAGCCGAGATCACGCCATTGCACTCCAGCCTGGGTAACAAGAGCGAAACTCCGTCTCAAAAAAAAAAAGAAAAGAAAAGAATTTTACTTTTGAAATACGTATTTGAACACTTGGTGTTGAGAATTTTTTCTTCCAGTTGAGGAACTAGTTGTTCAAATAAACATAGTGTAATGATTAGCCAACAAATCATTACTATGTGGTCCCTAAGCTGTGTTAAAGCTAATTCTAGTGTATAGTGGTTAAGAACATAAAATGTGAAAAAAATGACTTTGGCTCCATCTAATTCATAGACATATTTGTGTAAATGGGGTCTAGTGGGAAAAGCACAACTTGGATGGAAGCCACTGACAAGTTGTGTGACTTGTTTTGCTAATTTACTTATTCTTTCTTTCTTCTGAACTAGTTTCATCATAGATAAATGGAGACAAAAATATTGCCAGCTCTTATTTCACAAGACTTTTATGAGGATTAGATTTTAAACATGTATGAAAACACCTTGTAAATTGTAATGCTCTACATAAATTATTGTTATTATGATTGCTGTTATATCTTTAGATATATATGTCTAGAGAATAATTTAGAATATAATTTTATGATATATTTAAGCCGATTAATTTAAAATTTAAAAATAAACCAAAGAGATGACACCTTTTAGAAATCCCAATAGGCCCAAAGACTTTCAGAGAAAACAAACTAGCTAAAAGATGACCATGGTGCTGGCCTGTTGAATCTATTCCCATAAGCAGGAATGGTAAACCTGAGAGAGGGAGATGAGCAGTGATGACAGTGACTCACAGCACAAGGGAAAGAACCTGCACTTCTGATTTTAAAAAAAAAATGGTAGAATTGAATTGCTGGGTAGAACTTTGGTGATTACATAAGCTACACCTAACAGAGTGCCCTAGATCCTTGTACATACCATGAGATTCAATGAATGTCTGTAAAATGAATGAGTCTTCTAGAGGAGTAAATCAAAACCTTGAAGGTAATTTGCCAAGGTACATAATGGAAGCAGAATCAAGATAATGTTCAAGACAGGAGAACTCAAACGTAGAATTCTCTCCATGCTGTATTCTATTGATACAGGCCCTGTTATCTCTGACTGTAGAAAGACATAGCCACAGGTCTAAACACCTGAGCCGATTTCTTTTCACTTAGTTTTTAGATTGAATGCTAATGAGTTCCAGACTCTAGTAAAAGGATCACTTTTACTTATCATGCAAAGTTGACACCTGTGGAGATAAGCTAAGATCAGTATTTCAGGTAAATGAAAGGTTCAATGTGACAATAAGATTCCCATAAACGCCTTGATTCTCAGCATCTTGGAAGGAGCAGTGCCTAGGGCAAGCGCCAGGATCTTCCCATGGGAAGAGAACCGTAAGTGGAAGTTAACTTCTCTAGGGAACGGTATCTGCCTGCCCTGTTTGACCGTGCTCTATGTTCACACTATTTGGTTCAGAACTATTTTTTTTTAATTTGGATACAAATATGTCAAACAGGAATTATATATATATATTTTATTTTAGAAAATGATGTAACTAAAAATATGTTAAAGTTCATTTCTTCACAATGACATTTTCCACAATTAGTGCAATTTTCTGTGCTCAGCCAAGGAGAGGTCGTGTAGCAAGCTGTTTCACTTTCAGCCAACAAGTGTTAGTGCACAAGATTGACAGTGCCCTCAGCCAGTGAGCACCCACTGCACTGTTCACGGTTCAGGGCGCTTTGCAGCCCATGGGACTATGCCTTTGGAGGCTCTCTTTATGCCACTTTGATATCACGTCTTAACGCATAAAAATTTCCAAGTAATAGTACTGGATCTGCCACAAATAATTTTTAATCATATTTTTTGGATATTAATAAGTACTTAGAACTGATTAACAAAGCATATGAAAATGTACGAAGTATAACTGTGGCAGCACTTAGCGCGAAATTTGTACACTTAAATAATCGATTTGAAACAATGTGCTGAGAAGGAGTTAAGCATGAAACGTAAAAAGTTAGAAAAGAACAAAACTAACACAAGGAAAGTGGAAAGCAGAAAGAACATTTATAGTAAGAACAGATATTAAATATAATAGATTAAAAAAAGAGGGAAAAGCCGAAAATTTGTTCAAACCTCTGGAAAGCTTGATCTTGAAAAAAAGAAATTATAAAAATAAACAATATTAAAAATGAGAAGAGGAATTTAATCACAGATTCAACAAAGATGAAAAACAGAACTTTATGAGCAATGGAATGCGTTACCTAGCAAAACTTAAGATTTACAGGTCATACGGCTAGCAAAGCCATTACAGTACAAACTCCAGAAAAGCATGCTAACGTACCCTATCCAGACATACTCAGAATTCAGCCTGCCAGGATGAAGAAAAAACCTCAATGGCTCTGTGGCAAACCCTGGTCTCTACCTGGTGACAGCACCTTTGAATTGGAGTTGATATGTCAGCAGAAAGGGAACTGGCCAGACTTCTGGGACAATAGTGTCCTACCTACGCATACCATAGATGAAAGCTAACTTGGTTTCCCAGGAGCTTACAAACACCAGGAGGAGGGGAGTCTGTTGTGTACTGTGAGGAATTCTCACGACTGCTTCCTCCTGGGCCCTCTCCCTCATCATGCCAGCAAGCCCCAAGACGTAAGACAAGGCAGCAGCACTCACCCGTGGCGAGTGATTCGGGCTGAAGAACCTTTTAAGTACACTTCCTACTGTTGAATTTTTATTACAAGGATGTAGCTACAGGTACACTTTTGTAGGTGACCACAAAAATGTCCTTTACTGAGTAGGAAATCACTGTTTAGCTATATTTTGAGGAAGCAGCCAGGATATGTGTGTAATTATCCTGGGGCCATTCTATGAGTAAACTTTTGAACCATATCTTCTCTCTTTTGGAATGAGATTAAATGCTGTTTTTCATTGCTTTAAAGTTCTTCTCGCAGTCATCATCTCACCTTGTGAAACAGCGTTCAAAAGACATCATAATTCTTATGTTGTAGAAATTCTATGAAAAGTAGCATATTCTCCTCTTGTATATGATGAGATTGAAAAATCCAAATGTTCTAGAAATTCCTGCCAGAAACAACATCTTTTTTCCTAATAGCTCACAAATATTTTTTTCTCCACAATACGCGTTTTAACCACCTAACTATAAAGGCCTCGATATCAGCAAGCTCCTGAATTTAACCCCTAACGGATTATTGTAGCCATTGGCGATTTATAGACTTTATTTCCTTGTATTTTATGCTAGGTTGATAAATATTTATTTACTTTCTAATCTTAAAATCACCTAGAGATAAATATAAGTTGCAGTTTTTTGGCTTTTGTTTTTATTTAAAATGTTGCTATACTTAACTCATTTTTTTCTTTGTACTTTATGTTTAATAAACAGTTTAATTGTTTGGGGTATAAATGGCAAATTCAATTCTTTAGCTTGGCACAGAATAACCAGAGATCATATAAAATTCTGACAAGTAAGATCATAAAGTTTAAAAATGATCCTTAAGACCTTTTTTCTGAAAAGTAGCCTAAGAGAAATGATTTTCATAGTTTGAAATCTTAAAGCATCACCAGCAAATACATGAAGTGTGACATATTCACCATATGTGTGCATTTTCATAATTTGGCTTGTTAGCCAGGAAGGTCTCCTAAATAAAAGTGGTTTTCAGGCAAACACCAAATGAAATTTTGAGGGGAATGTTATAGACAGAATTGAAGCATCAAATGAGTGATTCAACCGGTGACTTTGAAAGTCACTTTTCATCACTGAAAATCTCTAGATTTCTTATAAGAATGGTGGAAATTAACTTGAGGACCTGTTAACCTAGCTTGTCCTGTAGCTTTTGTTTATACAAATGCATTTTTTCAGATACCCTATTAAAATATCATCGTAAAGTTATTCACCATACAAAAAGAGTATGGGTTTAATTTGTCCCCAGCACGGCATATAGTGGACAGTCTCTTATGTGGACAGGTAAAATGAACTGTCCTGTTCTGAGGTAGCCAGCAAGAGGCACCATGTGACACACCCTGACTGCCTAGATCATCCAGAATGCCCTGGCAAGTTGACTTCCATTTAGTAAAGTGAGATAATTTGGCAATTCACGCAAGAGACTGAGAAGCAGGCCTGAACCCCTGCCTCTGATTCTGCAGGTGTGGTAAGTCTTTCATGCCTTTCTGTGTCTCCAGTGCTTCTTCATGGGCATCTTATTTTTAAATCTACCTCATAATCACTATGTGACTAGTGTATGTTTAAAAATAAACTATAATATCTAGGGGAGGAGTCAATTCTCCCTTACGGGAAAAAAATCATCGTTTCTTTTCCTAAATTGAACTGAACTTCGTGTTTCACTGCTGGGGAATCACTGAGTTACAGCACAAAGTAATTGACTTCAGGATAAAAGATTTCAAGCTTTAAAAAACAATTAATGTGTTTCTCCTTTCACCTGCAGGTCTACCCACGGATAGCGCCGGCATTTTGGCACTACCTGCGGGTAGAAGTGAGTAGCGGGTACTTGAATTCTCCCACCTGTGCTCCTTGCAGTCTGCTGGTGTGGTCTGATCCGATGTGCCCATTTTACTCAAGGTGCAGCTGGCATTCTGTGTAAACACGTGCTCACACCACCACCATTTCTTAGAGTTGGGTCAGGAATCTAAATCACCAAAAATACAAGCGCAGTTTATATAAGATTAATCATCTTTCTTAATAAATTTCCAAATAGGACCATATCATATGCATCATAATGATAACTAAATGCCAAATTATGGAAAACCATGCTTACACTTCTTTGTGATCAGTACTTTTTCTATTCAGAGCAAAATTCCTCAGTTAAATTTTGGAATGTTTCTAAGGAAACGGAGAATAACTCTATTTCGGTTTTTTCTCCTTTTTCTGTCCCCCCAGGAACATGAGCAGCTGACCTACTCTTCCACAAGGTCCAAGGCCCCCAGTGTCATCATCACAGGTCTTAAGCCAGCCACCAAGTACGTATTTCACATCCGCCTGAGAACCGTGACAGGATACAGTGGCTACAGTCAGAAATTTGAATTTGAAACAGGAGATGAAAGTAAGTTTCATACAAGGATATCACGTAAGATGTGAATTTAGTATCCTTCTAATTTGACCTGATATTTTAAAACCACGTGTCCCAAGTTTTTAATAGCTTTTTCAGAGAGATTTTGTTCATGTCAATACTCATACAGTCATTTCAGTTAATGTTTTGGTACTATCATTAAATGCTTTCGTGAAATGCCTTACTCTACCACAATAGTAATGTGGCCAAAATGTGGCCCTTTAGCCTATTACACAGAGTCTCTGTGGCTAGAATTAGCCTAATTGTTCACGAGTCCTGGCGTCATCATATGATTTGAATGAAAACTTGGAAGAGAATAAAACCGTGAACAAATGATTTTACAATTAGTTTAAAATTATGAAGCTTTGGCCTGTTATGTCAGGTCAATAAAAACAGTGGTCAGGAGATGAACACTACTGACATATGCATTGTAAGTTTAAATACAGATGCATGGGCTTAATCAGAAACCCACATTAATTCCAGAGCCTCAACATGCTGAAAACCGAAATGGGAGATGAAGGGAGTGATGTTTCAATGTCACCTAACATCAGCTTTGAGTTCTTTTATTCATTCTAAATCCAGCTTTACCACTGAACTCTTTTTGGCCTTAGAAATCCATCTTACGGCCAGGCACGGTGGCTCACGCCTATAACCCCAGCACTTTCGGAGGCTGAGGTGGGCGGATCACAACGTCAGGAGATCGAGACCATGCTGGCCAACATGGTGAAACTCCCGTCTCTACTAAAAAATACAAAAATTAGCTGGACGTGGTGGTGCACACCTGTAGTCCCAGCTACTCAGAAGGCAGAGGCGGGAGAATCGCTTGAACCTGGGAGACGGGCGTTGCAGTGAGCCGAGATCGCACCACTGCACTCCAGTCTGGCGCCTGGCGACAGAGAAAGACTCTTTCTCAAAAAAAAAAAAAAGAAAAGAAAAGAAAAGAAAAAGAAAGAAATCCATCTTACTGCTCTCTTTGTAAGAAAAGAAGGGATTGCTTTTGCCATACATCTTTATGAAAAAGTGTCCAAATATATAATAAAAATCTGTTTCCCTCATTGTTAAAATACTGTATTAGTATAATAATTCATTAAAAGTAAATTTATTATACTAATTCCTTATGGATAATAATAATAGCTAGCATTTATTGAGGCCCTAAAAAAGTGCTTGAAATGAGACGAAATATTTTACATGGAATTGTTCCATTCAAACCTTTCAACATCCAATGAGACAAGTATTTTTTTGTTATTTAACCTATAAAAAAATAGACTCCTAAAGGAGTTTAACAAATTTACCCGATTTTCAGTAGCTGGTAAGAAGCTAAGCTAAAATTTGAAACGGAAGTGTGTTTTATTCAAAGGCCTATGCTGTTAGCTATTCCACCCTCCTACTAAATCTTATCAGTGTATTATTATGAAGTGTTTTTTCTAAGACCATGAAATAGGCCGTAGTTTCTCAGTTTTTCACTCCCTTAAAAAGAAGCTACTTGGGTTTCAGATTCTATGACAGAAGGAATATTTTGCTGTTGTTTTTCTGAATATTTTAGGAATATTTTGCTGTTGTTCTGATGAACAGTATTCACACATAAGATCTTCTTTGTTACAATTATATCTAACTAAAAAGGGAGAAGTGCTCATGTATTTAAGTAAGAAGGAACCCAGGTTAGGGAGAATGAGTAAACTAATTAATAAAAAGAATAGTTGTGACCTGAGTGTTTATATCAGTAATAGCATTTCAAATCCTGCTGGAGACTATGGACTTTTTAAACCAGAGAGTAAATTATTGGGAAGAGTATAATGATCACAAAACATAGATCCACAATAAGAACCATATGAAAATATCAAAAGATTTGTCCCTGTTTTGTTTTTTTCTCTGTTTTTTTCCCTGCCCACTTGTCAAACCTTAGTCTAGGTATAAAGCTAAGGATACAGTCCAAGGAAAGTTTGGTACAAGACAGTCGAATCATTGTCTTATGTAGGCTGTGTTTCTTTGCACAGCCTGGAAAAGTTAATAGCCTTTGCAATTATCTTGCTTTTTGTCACAGATTTAAAAAATTCACCTAACTTTTAAAGGACGATACTGTTGAGTATTGCATTTTTAAGTTAGAAATGCACTCTCAGATAAATGCGTAGAGCTAAATCTAAATAAGTCATTTGTGTTCATTTGGGGCTTCTAAAGAAGGTCATCTAGTGTAATACTAAAAAAAAAAATCTGATTTAAATATTAACTGTTTGATTTGGTTTAACTTTAAATTTCTACTCACTGTACTTTCAGGACAATTTCTTCAGATGTTATGTAGAAGAAAAGGTCCTTCCTTAGCAGAAAGGTCTCATACTCACAAGTTACTCAGTACAATTCACTCATTTAACCAACATGTATGGGACATGTAATATGTGCCATACTCTTATCAGGCTCTGGAGATAAAAAATAAGAGCTAACAGCCTTCGCCTTCAAACAAGTTTCAGTCTATATTTGTGGGAGGAAAATAAAAATTTAAATAAAAAATACAAGATGAGTGACATGTACTATCATAAAGATACACAAAAGGTTTGGTGACAGCATAGTAGACTATTTCAGCACAGATGGGTGGTGAAAGGCTTCTGGAGGGTGAGAGGCTGGAGCTCTTTCTCGAAAGAAGCGTAGTCATGGAACAGCGAAAGCACAGCGGCCTCTGACAACGTAGGATATTTAAAGAACAAATAATTTGGTGCGGCTGCGGTGAGGAGATACAAATGATAACATGGTGCTGGATGAAGGTAGAGGGTTACACAGGGGCCCAGCCAAGAGCGCTTTTTAGCCGTATTAAGAGTACCTGCATGTATCCAGAAAATATTCAGGATCCATTGATGAATTTGAATCCTGGATTAATATGAGTAGTAATATGTGCAAGATTCTATGCTGAGCAATTTACACATACTAACTCATTTACTTCTGACAAGATTATGCTTCATTTTAGAAACTTAAATAGCTTTACCAGAATCGGATACCTAGTGAGTGGAGGTACAAGATTAGAACCCTAGAACTATCTGACAGTGGCAGCAGAAGAGGGTGGAAACTGTTCTGAATTACTGATTCATGAATGCTGTGAAAATGACTTTGATTAAAACCTTGAAGATATAAAATGTCTGAGAAGAACCTGAAAATAATGTATGTGTCTAAGCTTGATGTTTGAGAACACGGAATAGCTCCTAAGTCAATTTACAGTCTAAGGGAAAATCCTTTAAAGGATCATTTAAAAAAAAAAAAAAAAAAGAAACTGGTTAGCTTTAAATAGCATTTCCAAAGCCTGCTGTTTATACCCTGGAGAGAATTTCAATGAATAATGCTATAGTAGCATATGGGTAGGTTTCCCATAAATTCAAGAATGTGATGATGTGAATCCTAATTGATGGCATCCATCTTTTTCTCTTCATATCCTCCTGGCTCTTGTTTAAATTTTTATAGCTTTTGTTTCTCAAGTAGTGCCTGAATTATTGTAATGTCAGCTTTATTATTAAGTTCTCCCTTGTGTATCCCACTTAATTAACTAACTTTATAATACGTTCATGGGGTTGAGGTATGGGTTGGAAATAAGTGATCTCATTTGATGTTCTGGTTCAAATTTTTGAAAGTAGGCAAAATTAAGCAGTTTATTAATTCAGTTCTTTTTAGCCATACTATTTTACTTTATTCAACTTTGACTTTGCTAGTGACCAAGACAATAATATAATTATGAAGTAATTCCTTTTGAAAATCATAATGTTCTTAACTGACTCCTTGTGCTACAAACATAGTGGCATCTGAAGAAAAATTATGGCAACCTCTTGCACTTCGATACCCGTGCTTGGGTTCTTTTTCAGTATCAACATGTGCTAGTGGAGACCCCCTCACTTGCTGACAAATGCTAACATTACTAATTATCACTGTTAGCATCATAAAATGACTCTATTCGAACCAGAGCTATTGGCTTCCGCTCTCCCTAAATGTATAAAACAACCTTATTGCATATGTATATGGAGAAAGAAATATAGATGGATTGGTAGATGGCTCAAATTGCCTGATAGCTATTCACTCATATATGGTCAGAAAAGTGTTTCCCTGCATGGAGACATCAAAATGCATTTTGATACTTGTATTTTATGTATCCTCTGATTTCTCACTGGGCAAAATGTACGGTTAAATATTATGTCCACTAACAGCATTTATTGAGTGCCTCCTGTGTGCTGGCCTTATTAGTTTACTGTACTTGATCCCCCCCCACCTTCTTAGAATAGGTTTATCAAAACTACAATAAAATTACAGTATCAGTAGTAAGAAAGTAAGAATATAAAAATACGTCATGTGGATATTCTAGGGAGATAGATGGAAATTAGGTATTAGAAGCTAGTAAGAATTTTCTCAATAGTAAAATAAAATCCATATTATACCCCAAAGCATTAATCATAAAACAAACACACACACACACACACACACACACACACACACACACACACACACACAGGTCAAGTGCAGTTCTTTTTGGCTAATATGGCTGTAATAGGAAATTTTAACTGCTTCAAATTTCTTATTATTTCTAAGCTTATTTTCTGGGCCTTTTAATGGAGAAAAAGATGAGAATCAAAATACAGAATTGTTGACATCACCAGTAATATTTTCCATACCTTATAAACTGCTTGAAAAAAACATATTTGAGACATTTTAACAATAATCTGGGTAAATTATACTTACATATTTAAAAAGTAATAAAATAAAGGAAATCAAGCTTTTTTTAATTAAAACACCAAGATTTATGTAACATTAAATTCAATTTTATAGTAACAGAAAGTAATTTTACATGTGCAATTTTAAAACCAAAATAAAATATATTCTAATAGATTGTAGCCAGCTTGAACCTTCTGCTTAAATGCTGAAAAATAGCTTATGAGCTATCAAAAGGGAGCAGAATCCATAGCTTAAAGCCAATTTTTGAAAGAAAATCATTATTTTACATGAAATAATTGGCAATTTACCTCTTCCAT